ATTGAGAAAACAGATCTTACAAAAAAGCCTGAGCCTGAATATCGACCTTTGCATGATACAGCTAGACATGCTATTCACGTCTCGGAGACACTGGAAGTTGCGGAGAAGACCATCACAGCGATCATACAGCAGCATAGTGCGTTTGAGGCCGAAGCTGCTGGGGGGAGTAGACCTGCAAAAGCAAAGTTTCGACATGTCGGTGAACGATTGCTCTGGTACATCCACATCCTGCAAAGTCTACGCTGCAGAGCCTCCGCGAACAAGGAACGGCTTCTTAACGAGATCCAACTAGCATTCAACTCAGTAGCGCAGTACGACTCTCGCATCTCCGTCAAGATCGGTCAGGCGACTCAATCCGATAGCGCAGCTATGAAGACCGTAGCTTTCGTGACACTCACATTCTTGCCTGCGACTTTTATATCAGCGTTGTTCAGCATGTCGTTCTTCAAGGTTGACGATGACACGGGAGTCTGGAGTGTGAATGAGAAGTTCTGGGTGTATTGGGTGTTTGCGGTTCCAGCGACGCTCTTTACCTGGGGGTTGTGGTTGTCGTGGCAGTGGTTTTATAGACCGATTAAGATTGGGGAGGAGGAGAAGCCTGTGAAGAAGCTTGGGGATTTGATTGGGTTTCTGAAACGGGGCGGGACTGACGAGGAATCCCAGATATCATCTTGAGTTATTGAACAGGGATGGATCGGATGATATGGTCGGATAGAGGGATTGTGACTTGGATAGCTTGAAATTTTGAGAAGCAAATGGGTGGCCTTATGATATATATTATTGATGAACTAGAAGTCACATTGGTTGCGTGCTATTATCCATGTACTCATATCTCGTTCCTCGTTCTGTCGTCCGTATTGCTATAATACAAGTGCTAAGATCCCAAACTACCATCACATGTTCTCAAAACCTCAGCAACCAAAGACGCCAACTATCGATCAAATGAGTGCGTTACACCTGGCCCCAACATCATAGTCAACAGGCTGAACAGGATCGACCGTCACAATAGAAGCTGGCTTTGCTGAGGCATCATATTCCTGCAAAACGACTGGCGCCGGCGATGCAGCTGTCTCTAACACAGGTGTCGGGCTCGACTGAACCGTCACCTCCACCACAATACTATCCTGTGGTGCTGGTGTTGACACCTGAGGTACAGGAGCCGTATTGTCCCCAGTTGCTAGGCTGGTACCAGCCAAGACGTCGTTGCTACCGTATCCGCCACTGACAATGAGTGTAGTATTGTCTTGTGTCCCTGGGACTTCGACCAGAGGAACGTCGCTCGTGATGATCTCAGGCTGGTTGTTTTGAAGGAATACCGGATACACAGGTTGCTGCGCTTGGGACTGGGGTGTGAACAGTGGTGCTGGTTCGGCGGCATAGTCGGGTACTGAGTACGAGATGGTGACCTGCTGCTGAGGCATTTGAGTTGGATCACAGACGTACGGCTGGGTAGGATAGGTCTCTTGCGAAGTAACCTGATATACAGGCTGTTCAGTCAACTGGATGGGAGGCTCAACGACGGCCTGCTCAGAAGTAATGACTGTCTCATAGGATGTTGTTTGTTGAGCCAAAATTGGCTCTTGGGTTGAAGTAGCTTCGAACGTAGTCTGCTGCTGGACTTCAAAACTGGGTTGCTGCTCGTATGTTTGAGTGTACTGAACCTCCTGCTCGAAGGCTGGCTGACCCTCATTGATAGTGTAAGAAACCTCGGTCGTAACGCTGAACTGCTCAGGCTGCTGGCCAAAGGCAGGCTGTTGATCAAATGCAGGTTGTTCGAAAGCTGGCTGCTCAGTCTGTACCGAGTACTCAAATGTTGACTGTTGCTCAAAGGCGGGTTGCTGGAACATCGACTGCTGATTATCTTCAAATGAGAATGACTGCTCAGGCTGTGAAAAAGACGATTGCTGATAGTCGAAGCTTTGCTGGAACTGTCCCTGTTGCTGGTCTTGAAACCCGCTCGAGTCATCACCTCCAAATCCGAAATCCCCATCATCGTTGTAACTGTCGTCGTACTCGCCATCGCTTCCGGAGCCAACACCACTGAAGCTGTTGACTGTGTTCAACATGCGACCCATCTTCCTCCAATTCTTCTTCTTGCCAAGTTTTCCGACCTGTCGACTTGCCATCTCAACACCTTGACCAGTGAGCCTCGCTGCATTGACTGTCGCTGAGAGAATGCTATCGCCGACGTTTTGCGGCTGATTTGGTTGACCAGGTCGTGCTTTTCTCATAATGACCTTGTTTCCTTGCTTGGTCTGTCGTGGCTGCTGGCCCGGCCGATCCCACGTCGATAATCCAAGTTGTTCGTTGATATAAAACGGCGTCATGTCTGGCGTTCTCAATTCTCTCCAACCGTCAGGCAGAGAGTTGGCAGGCTTCACCCATGAACTGGTCCCTAATCTTTTGTTAAAGTAGAATGTTCGACCATCAGGAGTCTTGCGCTCATCCCAGCCAGGTGGCAATCCAGAGAATCCAAACAACGCCGCGGCCGTAGGCTTCAGGTGTGTCTTCAAGCCGGTCGAATTATGAGTGTACCAGAGTCGGCCAGAGACGTTCTTTCGAATGGTCCACATTTGGGTTGTCGCATCTTGAACGGAAGATTGAACTCGCGGGTCGGATTCAGTGGCATAGTAGGATTTATCGTGGCTGTGAGAAGCGTTGACTGCATTGGAGGTAAAGCACCACACACAAAAGTTCGTCGTGATATGTGCTGTGCTACAGATGAGACAGGTGTAGACTGACACGTTGAGGGGGATTCCTGGTAGTGTTAGCGACAATGACGGTTCACTCGTGATAGCCTTACCCTTTCGACAATGGTTACACAGCTGAGGTTGCCCAGTAGATGTGCGTCTCAAGTCTGCCGCAGGAGTAGCTTGAACAGCCGGCGTCGGCTGGATCGCTGGAGCATGCTGAGCTGGATGATTCTGTTGACCCGCTGGGATTTGTTGAGCTACCGGGGCATACTGAGCCAGGTGAGGTTGCTGGTGAGGTTGTTGTGCGCCTGGAGCATGCTGAAACGCTGGATTCTGCTGGCCCGGAACATGTTGAACTGCCGGGGCTTGCTGGTTCACAGGTGGCTGCTGGCTCACAGCTGGTTGCTGAGCCGTGGTAGGAACGACATTTGGCTCCCATCGTGGAGTGCCCGCAGCACTCGGTGTAGCGACTGTGGTAGCAGGCGTTGCGATACCGGCGCTGCTACCGCTGATGCTTCCGGGTCTGCCGTGATCGGCCACAAAAGAGCCGATGTTGCTGTTGGCAGTGTCAACCCGATGGATTTGCGGAGCTGGGCTTGCGGGAGATTGCTGTGGTTGTGCTTGGTGAGTGTTTGGCTGAGTCGTTTGAGGAGCGGGGTTTGGTGATGGGTTTGTCGGGCTGAAGGGTTGTTGCTGAGGGTGCTGCACTTGGACATGCTGCTTTGGAAACTGTTGCTGTTGCTGATATTGCTGTTGCGGCGCTTGTTGGTAGGTTTGCTGATACTGAATTGGTTGTTGGTGGGTTTGAGGATGTTGAGGATAAGGTTGGCTTTGCTGTTGCTGCTGCTGGGGAGGGTACTGAGCAGGTTGCGCTTGCTGGTGCTGAATCGGCTGGCCCGGATGTGCTATCTGCTGAGCTTGGTGAATCTGCTGTGGGTTCTGTTGGTGGTAAATAGGTTGAACCTGTTGCCCAGGATGATATGATTGAGGCCTCTGTTGTTGACTATGTTGCGGTTGCTGCGGATTGTGAGGAGGATACCCAGCTTGCGGATGCTGCTGCTGCTGCTGCTGGGGAGCAGGTCTATGAGGCAGTGAAATGCTCTGGCTTGGAGCTCCAACAGGTTTCCCAACAGGTTTCCTAGCGACAGACCTCTGATGCATCAAAGGCTGAGGCGTCGTTTGTACAACATTACTCTGAGGCTGTGGAGACGCCATCTCGACTTACACCAGAAGACACAAGAACAAGGACAAGAAATGACAAGACGGGAACCCCGCTTGGCAATGCATTCTATTTATTGCTTTTATTCCCCTGTCCATCACAGGACTTTAACAATCGAGACCTGAAAGAATATTTTGTATCTGGTTGTTCCTCTTCTTTTCTTTCTACCCCTCTATCTGGTATGTGCAAGGGTCCCTCAGCCGCAAATCTGCAACCATTCACAACGCAGGTTGGCCGGCTTCGTGGCGCGCTATGAGATGCATCTTGCTTTTTAGGGGAAAGCTCGAGACAGATTTGGGACGAGGGCGTTTTTAGTTGCCGTTGTTTGTCTCCGATGTTTGGTGTTTATGCGGCACAGTTCCGCTGTGTTTAATCTGTAGCTGGAGGTAGGTTGTTGTAAAAGAATCGCTATCGATGAGTGGAGTAGTGTCGATATGGAGTTTCAGACGAGGCCGCATAGTATCTTCCAGGCTTTAGCGATTGATGGTGTCAGCCATCTATATACCTAGTATGTTGCGAGCTAACTAACAAATTGGTATAAAATTAATGCATTCATCTTTGAATACTTACCCAGGCACCGTAGAACTTGGTAAGAGTAGAAAAGGGTGACTAGCTTAAACTTTGGAGCTACCGTAAAGTGCGTGGGGGACCAAGAAAACTGAAAACTTTGATAAATGATGGATGATGAAGAATAAAAGAAGTTCTCTAAAATTATGATAGCCTACCTAAATACTTTAACAACTTAGGATCGAGAGTCTTAAGTTTTTCTCGTCGAGAAGCAGGCACAATACATCAGTCCACGGGTCACGCTTTCATATCTTGATGAACCCTCTCAAACTTATTTCCTTAGTCGATAACTTATCTCTTACACTCCCTCAAACGAACACACACATCCGACACTGACTGAATTAACAGAGTTCTTCGCATCAAATTTTATGTCTATGTACATCGACGATCTACCAATGGAGTCCAACACACCATGTGAGAGACGCGGGGGCTGAGTATCCTAATCAGGTTGAAAAAGCCCTCTGGTTCCTCATCCATGAGCTGATCGCCGTTCTCCGCATCACAACATCACAACAAAAGCCATGTCGGGAATCGAAGGCCTGAGCATCGTTGCAAACGTTATTGCCATCGTTGACCTGTCTCTCAAAGTCATCTCGTGGTGCTCCAAGTATGCTCAAGACGTCAAAGACTCCAGCGACGATCGCGCCCGGCTCCTGCAGGCGGCTATCACCTTGCATTATGAGTCCGGGAAAATCCACGGCCTTCTCTCTGGCAAAAGAAGCCATAAATTGAAAGAATCTCAGAAGCTTGCCCAGGCTATGGGGAGCAGTGAGGTTCAGTTACGCGAGATCGAAAGTTTGTTATCCGACAAGACCAACTGTTCAACCCTCAAATGGCCGCTGCGGAAAGAAAGGGTCGAAAGCGCTATCAGAAACATTGAGAATGCAACAAAGACCCTCTTAGAGCTCCTTCAGATTGATACGGCGTAAGTATATTCTTCTTTTCCTTATACTCCCCTCCAGGGGTATGAAAACATCAGACCTTAATATGGGGTATCAAGATAAACCCAGCAAAAGTCACTTTAAGCTTAGGCTATATTATCTAAATCTTTTTGTCATTAAGGATGAAGGCCCTGAGTTTTCTTTCCTCCCCCAGACTCCCTGGTAAATGGGTCCGAAACAATGGGCCACAACACGCCCATGAAGATGGCTGCAACACTTCTCAATCCTGGAACCTCGAAGCCACTGAAGAACAGAAATGCTGATGACTTACTGCTATTTAGAAGCATTATCCTTGATATCGATGATAGGACGGAGGGTGGCCATCGAAGAGCAGTAATCGATCAGTTGCCCTACGTTAGCGATGCAGTATGGGATTCACATGCCGAGGAACATAACGCGACCTGCCTGGAGAATACCCGTAAGGATATTCTACGGGAAATAAAAGAATGGGCTGAAGACACAACTGACCAGTCGAAAACGGTGTACTGGCTCAACGGCATGGCGGGCACTGGAAAGTCCACCATCTCACGCACAATTGCCCGCTCCCTGTCCGAGGCTGGGAGATTAGGGGCATCCTTCTTCTTCAAACGTGGCGAACTGAATAGAGAGAAGATATCCAAACTCGTCCCTACCATTGCGCGTCAACTTGCGACGAGCCGACCGGAGCTTGAGTCTTATATCTATAAAGCGGTCCTGCATGATCCAACCATTGCGAGCAAAGCCGTCAGAGCTCAGTTCGAAAGACTTATTCTGGAGCCCCTGTCTCAAATTTCAACTGAGACTCAGGATAAAACGCCCGTCACTATTGTCATCGACGCGCTGGACGAATGCGAGTCTGATGCTGATATCTATCTCATCATCAACCTATTTTCTCGGACAAGACACATAAATCAACCGCGAAGTAGAATATTTGTGACAAGCCGCCCTGATCTTCCGGTTCGCCTAGGCTTCAAAGACGTGCAGGGAACTTATCAAGATATGGTCCTTCACGAGATACCCGCTCAAGTAATAGAACACGACATATCAATATTCTTAACACACGAAGCAGGCCTAATTAAAAGGAGATGGGATTCTTCAGTTCCTGAGAGACGTAAACTGCCAACCGACTGGCCTGGAACCGCCTGCATCCAGCTCCTCGCAGAAAGAGCAGCGCCGCTCTTCATTTTCGCCGCAACTGTATGCCGTTTCATAGCTGACCGGAGGCATGGTAACCCTGACGAGCAGCTCCAAAAATTCCTAGGATCTTCGGCTGAGGATACCCCGTCTCGGATGGAGCTTACTTACGGGCCAGTACTTGGTCAGCTGTTTGGTTCGCATTGTCCCAAACGCAAGAGGGAGACGATCATCCACGAAGTCAAGCGAATCATCGGTACCATCATTAACCTCGCTACCCCTCTGTCATCATCCACACTTTCGAGACTCATAAGAATGGATCAGAAGACGATTGATGTCAGGTTGGACTTTCTTCATTCGGTTCTCAGCATCCCTTCCTCTTCACATGCACCAATTCGAATGCTTCATTCATCCTTCAGTGACTATCTGATGGACCCAGATATAGAAGGGAACCCCTTTCGAATCGACCAGAAGAAGTCGTCAAGAGATATAGTTGAAGACTGTTTCCAAGCGATGGAGAGCCTCAAAACCGATATCTGTCACCTGGGGATTCCAAGCATGTCCCGTTCGACAATACAGCCCGAGGTCATCGCTCAATGTCTACCCCCTGAGGTTCAATACGCATGCGTTTACTGGATAGACCACCAAAGAGTTGCAGGAATTGCCCCTGAAGATGCCACCGCCATCTTAAGCTTTTTGGAGAAGCATCTGCTTCACTGGTTTGAAGCCATGATCTTACTAGGCAAGGTCTACTTGATCACCGGACTGATCAGGAGTCTTAAATCTGTCCTGGAAAGAAAGGTAAGAAAGGGCATATACTTAGAACTTCCAGACCGCTCATAATACTTTGCTAGTCTGCCGTTGACGTAACGTTGATCGACTTTCTTGACGATGCCATTAGAATTGTTGACAAAAATATAGAGATGATCAACCTAGCCCCCCTGCAGATATATCACTCTGTTTTAGTGTTTGCGCCTACGAACAGCATCGTCCGAAAGACCTTTGTCACTGAATTACCGGCCTATTTGAGGCGTGTAACAGGCAGAAGAGCCGACTGGGATCCACGCCTGCGTTCGTTCGATAACGCCCAGCCCAGAGGGTGGCATCCCATAGACAGGCGCTCTACCGTGTTTTCACCTGACTCTGAAGTATTGCTCTCTGTATCCAGTGGAGGATATGCCAGAGCTTGGGATTGCGATACAGGTGAATGTATAGAGCAGCTCGAGACAGCCAAAAGCTCTTTGATGGCCCTTTCTCCCAATGGAAGATACCTAGCAGTGATCACCCCTGAGTGGAAGATAAGCCTGTCCTCGGATACAAGAACACATGTTCTAGAGTCAACACAAGATATAGTTTTGGGTGATCTGGCCTTCTCACGAGATTCCGCATTACTATGGGCATGCTCGATCAAGGGACAAGTGAAAGCCTGGAATGTGGCAACGGGGGATTGCGTGAGAGATCTCAAATGCCCATGGACCATGGACGCTGACCCCCAATCTCGTGATAACTACGAGTGCCAGTTCAAGTTTTCATTTGGTTACTCCACCGCTCTACTTGTTTCAGACTATATTGATGCGCATGTTTGGTCTCTTGAACGTGGTGAGGAAGAGAAGTCCTTTGACATAGCGCTATCAAACGGTGCCTATACTATGCCCAGTGGCTTCTCGCCAGATGAGAAAGTATTGGCTACGCCATCAGAAAGAGATTCAGTGATGAAGATCTGGGACCTCAAGACAGGCCAGTGTCTATGGGAGCTGGAGGAAGGGGATGGTCGCCATATAATGGACTTTGTCTTCTCAGCAGACTCTCGCCTCTTGGCGATAGTCTATGACAACAATTCAACATTGGTCTGGGATATTGAGAGTGGAAAGTGCTCAGCAAGACTAAACATCAGGGGTCGTGTCTCCCTCTTCAGTATTACATTCTCACCCGACATGGAACTTATCCTTCTCATAAGTAAGAGAGAGGATGGGCCAAACAGCAACATTGAAGTGTGGAGCTTAGACTCAGAAGCCTGTATGGCAATGATGAGATGCCATGAGGACGATATACACCATCTTCTATTTTCCCCTGATGGGCAAACCTTTGCTTCTGTGCGACCAGGTGGCGGTGAAATACAGTTATGGGACTGGCAAAGCCTCCTCAAAGAGCCTCTAGAAGACTCAAAAGAAACGACGTCACTCGTTCTATCACATGATGCATCAACAATAATAGCGTCATACGGGACTCACGAATTGAGAGCATGGGATGCTGCAACAGGCGAAATGCTCCATGAGATGCGCACCAAGGGCCAAGGGTTCAGTATACGGTCTTGCAAGTTTTCCCCTGATGATGCATACATAGCAACAGACGGATGGTATGGAGCGGCAGTGTGGGATGCACGCGATGGTAACTGCGTGTGGCATTCCAGCCATGACTGCCGAAGGACTAGGGTGCATTTCTCATCTGACTCTCAGCGTATCGCAGTATGTGTTGGATTCTGCTGGGAGAGAAGTAGTCCTTGTATTGAGATCTGGAAGCGGACCAGCATTTCATTTGATCTCGAACATACCTGGAATGAGATCTCGGCTTATAACCTTTCGTTTTCTCCAAGTGGAAGCCTGTTGTTCGTCAATCATGGAAATGGGATAAGAGGTTTCGACTGTGACACAGGTGGAGTGTTTCATGAGATACCATTTGATGGACACGAGATCACTATAGTTCCGATGGCGGTTTCCGAGGATTCGTCCACCCTTGCCCTTGGTCTTCAATCTGAGATTCAAATATGGAACCTTGAGTCAATGATGTGTACCAAACAGTGGTGGACGAAGCTAGCTTCTCATATAATCCTGTCTTCCACGGGAACCCTTTTGGCCGGCCAGATTAACAACAACATCCGAATCTGGAATTGGACGACTGGGGAGATGCTTGCCGACATCCGTCTTTCTGAAAACGACTGGAACATTGATGCCTTTTTAGCAGATAACTCTGGAATCAACACCACCCATGGAATTATTCCAACGAATCTGGGAAATGTCTCAAGCAGGTACTCCACACCAACCTTCAGACTCACAGGGCATTACATCCAGTGGAGGGAGAAAAATTTGATCGAACTACCACGTGATTATCGAGCTGTTAGGATTGCCATAGTAGCGACAAATTCGGAACTCACTATTGCATTTGGGTGTAGCTCGCAGCGGGTTACCATTCTTAAGATCTCGGAGGATGAGGAGTTGAGACGGTTGCTTCCTCTGATCGAGAAGACTTGAGATTATCTGGTGACGCATAAACAGGGGTGAAGCGTTATAATAGGCTTTCTTAGTATTGACTGAGCAGGCCGCCGTCTCACAGGAAAATACTCCTGTTGTCTTAGACCGAAAGCAAAGAGATATCAATCCAAAATGTTGAAGACTGCCTGTTCATATAGAAGTAGCCCCCCACTTCCGACTAGCACAACCATCATCAGCATTGTATCTGGGGTGAGGCTCGAAGCTGGTCTTGCCGACGCCCTCGGGTTCACCCGGCCAGATGTTGCTTTTTTGAGTACCGAAATGCCCTCACCCTCGTTATCCAAGGTCCACGTCTTGCCGGGATCGGAGCTTCCTTGAGACCAAACTGGTCCTGGGCGTAGATAGCAAAGCCAGCTGAAGCAAAATTCTCTGCGTTCAATATGGCATTCTCCGTGCCAATTTCTGCCCACTCTACCACCTTTTCTGGTTCGTACATGTAGTCCATACACTTGGGATCGAACACAGTGTGCTCCCAGTTGAAACTTTCGTGGTAAAGAGTGCGACTCGAGAGTTCTTTCAAGGGTTGATGTTTTCTTGCTTAGCCTTGTCCACGAGGATATCAACGTTGCTTAGCTTCTCGATAGACACCAACACGTTACTGTTGGTTACCTCAGCTCAAAATGCTTGCCTTGTCTCCCCCTCTCTTTCTCGCACCTGTCTTGTTCTTCACACCCGAGTGGCGCCTCTTGCCTCCATCTTGCATATTGAGCTGCGCCTCTAGCACTAGCAAAGACAGGATCAATTACCATTCCTCCCTCATGAGCGAATGTTATTTCCCCCGCACTATCGCTTTCTGTCTGCAGGTAGCCGTTACCCACGAGAGCGCTTCGTAGAGCTTGAAGAAAAGCCGGATGTGTCGCGTTCTCTCCTGTCAGCAAGATTGTGTCGAGGCGGAATCCTTTAGTAACTGTGCCGCAGAAACCCTGCAACCTTTCGGTCACGCGAGCCCAGAAGTCGGGTTTGTCCTCAGCGGTGGATAGACCTAGGTCAAGGTCTACAAACGCCGGGTCAGCGCGTCTGGGCTGGAGATCCGTAAATGCAGACCAAGTCCTGATAATTTCTCCACGTAAATCGGTAGGAGTGATTCCCACGACTAGGGTTGTTTCCAAAGGAACATTGTCCTGCTCCTCCTCACATTGCCATAAGTTTTTGTAGTGTGCACACAAACCCTTCCCATGTCCCGCGAGAACAGCATATGATTCAAGAAGCTGGCTTGGGTATCCGCCGGCAGCGGGCAAAGGAAGTACAACTTTTGGACGGGGCAGACCAGCAGCCACCCACGGTCGAATACGCGCATATTCGAGCGCGTCCCAGAGGTCTGGTTCTGCCAGGCCTTGGACTCTGGAGTGCGACACAGCAACTCTATCCAAGGGACTCGTTACTGCGGCAGAAGTCACGTCGCGTAGCGAGACAAGCATGGTAGCGATGATTCCTATATCCGGCGTAGCTGGCCTTCCGATCTTTTTGTTGAAAGATCGTCGCAACTTCTCCCATCCGGATAATGGTGGAGGCGGAGGAGAATTGGCTAGACGCTTCATAAGTGCTGCATATTCCGGGCTTGCAGGAATTGACGCAATATTTTTGACAGTGCCATTATAAAAGTGCACAGCAGCGGACCTAGTAATTAATTAATTGGTTTAATTATCCAATAATTAGGATCAGAAGTCAAGGTCAACATACCCGGAACTTAACGAGAGACTTAATCCAATGCCTGGCGCATCGTGAACACTCGCGGGTAGACAATCAGCGCAAGTGGGAAAAGGCTCAAAATGATCACCAGAAGCCTTTGCACTGCCAACCAGGCCAAAAAGAAGTGCAAAGCGCATGTTGCGACTGAAAGCGACAGGATATTTGCATGGAGTCTAATGGAACAAATGCAAGACAAGGTGATTGACAAGTTTGAGCGGATTTAGATGGTATATCACACAGAAAAGGTCACATGACAAATGTATCAGGTATACAGCTATTCCAACATGTTACGTAGCAACCAACCCAAGCATAGAGAATAAAAGACAGTGAATTAAAGAAGGGTTACTAGTTGCGTATATATAATTTAATTAGCCTTCATTTATAAATAACAAGCCATCTGACATCATGCAAGAGGCGGTAATTGCTCAAGCTGGAGTTGGTAGGCTTGTGTTGACAATCAGGGCAATCCGTTTTGAGGACAACACCGCATATTTGCTAGCTAGCAATCACCAAAGATTGATCAACATCAAACACAAGCTGTGATTCATATTCAAGCTTGTCACAAATTCAGAGCAGGGAGAAAACAAAGCGAGGATGAGCTTGTTTGAAGTCCAGCTTGCTCTGGAAACAACAGGCAATAGACCGCCTCGTGCCTGATACAGTAAGTGATTGCGCAATCGTAAAAATAATTACCATATACAAGCGAAGTTGTCGCTTCTTTGCTATGAAATCAATTGTCAAGCGACATTCGTAAAGCTGGACACGTAAGCTGTTGTATTACAATCAAGCACATTGGGCCATCATAACATGCTTGACTTTCACAATTCAAGGCTCACAAAAGGAAATCACACGGAAAACCCCGGGAAACTGAGAATTCGGCAGAATATCATGGAAAAGCAAATATAAGTCTGGCTGACTATAAAAGCTGCTCTTCCTCCCACCCTTCAACTCTCGTCCGTCATCATTATCCAACACCAATATTCTTTCTTACGATATATATTATTAAAAACAAGGCTGTCTCCTCACAAGACCTCGAGGAGCAAGCTTTCAGGGCATCTTCAACACTCTGGTCGTGGTATAACAGCTCTCTCGGACCAGATCCCATGCTTCAAGGCCATCTTGACTCTCAACTCGTACGGAGAGATTGAATCACAAGGTATGAGAGTAATACTACAATGAATGAACATCAACTAAGCTGAGTAAGACTGGAATCCGTATATACACTTAGTATCCCACATTCTTAGTAGTCCCCTGCCACTAAGTGACAATATAAACGTAGGTTAACCCTTTTTATTCTATCATAATGCGATTGCGTCCAAGTGGGCCTAGTAGCAGGGGTGACTGAGTGTTATGTGCTGGATAGTCAGTGTCAAGCCAATAGCCCAATTATAAGAGATATCGCCCACGGTGTCGAAGGTGATAGCATTAGGCTTAAAAGTCTCAGATAAGTTACTTTGTGACGAAGAGAAAATGCGGTTCATCTCATGATGGGGAGAGTATACAAGTACGCTGTGGACGTCGACCTCGTACCAGTTCAACACAAGCTACAGTACCACCCGACTATAGACGCTAACAACACTCAAGCCAACATCATGGTGTACGAGTCAAAGCTCGAAGGCATCGACCGGATACGCTTCCAGTTCTGCATCGTGGATGAGGCCCATATTGTGAAGCGGGTGACCGGTGGTGTGAACAACTTCGTACGCCAGTTCAGCTGGGATTCCCTCATCTGCATCACTGCCCAAGAAGTCCGAACCAACATCCCACCTGGTGGCTGCTCACTTAACATACCCTTACAAACCACGATCCAACGCAAACATCGAACACATGATGAGGTTGACGTCACCGTCTATATTCTCTACCTGTTGAGAATATTCTGAGCGTGTCACAAACCGTGGCCCTAATAGCATCATGCTGACGAGTGTCAAGCGCTACGAGAAGCGAGAAAGGCACGAAACTCCGGCCACATCTTCCCTTGTGCGTGTTGGAACCTCTAGGGGGAAGGGATGAGAAGACAGGGTTTAAATGGACTACGTCTCCAACACGATTACCCAGGAGGCGTCAAATGATAGACAATACCTCCCGCCTGTCTTCTTGTTCTTCCTTCCTCAACAATATTCGAGCAACTCACATGTTGCAGACTTTCATGGGCCAAATGGCGTGTAAAAAGCGTTCTATATATACAGAAGATGTGTTCGCAAGATGAAACTCATTTCTTCATCCAATGGCTGATGTCATGGCGACCAAATGAGAACTGGGAAGACAAAGATCTCCCTGACCATATTACTCCATAAGATACGTATAAAAGAAATTAGGTAAGCCAAAGAAGAAACGAGTCTCGGAGCTAAGGTCTTGATATAGCTCCATCATCGAAACTAACGTCCAAAGTTTATAGACACTCGTTCCATGAAGTCCACAAAGTTCAACGCTCCACGTTCGTGGCAAGTAGCATCACAAGATGCCGTTTCAAGTGGCATTCGCACCTTCTGACCGCGACGAGTTACAGTTGACTCTGATGATAAGGCTGTTAGGTCTATAGCCACAAAGACTCCTCGTAACGTGCGACTCTCCCCTCTGCCCACCACAGTCTTGATGAGCTTCCTCTTATCTGAAGGCCGCACTGACCGTATATCTCTCAAACAGGAGTCGAACACCTCAACACCTTCTGACAAGGGTCTGAGAAACAAAGTACCAGAGGCTTACGACCTGGATTGTAAGGTTGCAAGCGGGAGCTGCACTATTATATATTCTCTATCTGGAAGTGCAAGTACGCCGAAATCTACTGCAACCTACAGGATTCGCGTTGGGCGCAAAGAGCAAGCCGAACCAACGGAGAGCTATTCCGAATCTACAGAATTCTGTTACCATATGGTTGTTTCAGCACCCCCAACCAATGCAAGTTTCTAAACTGAATGATGAACAAAACCATAAGATATGCTTGTGCGAATCTTGGTCCATCCCAGACAATTATATAATCAACAAGCAAGCACAACTTCACGATAGAGGCTTCGCTCTTTTGCTGTTGTCAACTGCAATTCGCAAATCTGATCGAGACGAGCGGATGCTCTACCTACCTACTATACTATCCGTGGGTCAATGGAACCAATAACGAGCCTTGAGAAATTGAGGAGATAGCCAGAACAAATTTGACACTGGCACCTACGTGGGAGTGGAAGACCCGGCAGTAGCCAAGCGGTGACTTCGAGGGTACTAGGGATGCATATAGCCCTGACGCACTCCAAAGTCATCAATTGGCGAAACGACTAGCACGACACTTATTCTATATATACAGAGAGAGCACCCGAGATGAAGATGCACGGCTGTGAGACACACGTCAGGCATCATGGGAGCCCAATCACCTCATAACAGGCATGCCAAGTTTAGCTATAAACCCACCAAATGGAAGGAAAGTGGGACTGGATTGTCTAGATGCATCCATAATCGACAGAGTCTACCAGGAAGCCCAAAAAGACAAGTGAGCGAATCGCCCTCACGCCCTATTTTCAGTGTCTTGTAACTCTACATACACACTGCACCATCTGTAGAATATTCACAAGGGTATCCCAGTCCCGACGGGACTATACTACCAGGATACTGGGTCTTATAAACAGCCACGGCAAGGCGATTATGGTCCTCGAAGCCAGAAGTCATGGTACATCGTATCTTTCATCCATGTTTTATAACTCTTTGACTCAAGAAGAAGATATAGTCCTTCACAGTACTGCCTATCGACATCCATCTCTTCCTTTACAGATCTCCTCTTTGATCTGAAACACTCCTATCACATCCCGCACCGCTGCTGGCTTTGTAGAGGAGGATTCAACCTCGCCTTGATCAGCACTATGGTTCGACACCAGGCAAGCGCAGCCATGGTAGACGTGGACTTGTGATATATACCTTTGACTTGAATATACTAAGCCTAAATCTTCCCCTCTCCTACAAGGACTTCATTAATTCACATACTTATATACAATACTTTAGTATAGTCTGAAGCCATAGGCTCACGGGGAGTATCGTCAAGATAGCAGGTCTTGCCCACGATGGCCTCGGATGACTAGAGCTAGCGTTATGAACTGCTCGGTGCATCTATTTCTCAGGAAATTATTTCTTGCGATTCAAACGTACCCATCCCTCCAGGTCCTCGTCTAGCACCCAGCAGAGTATCTATTCCACCATAATCCCTATATTCAGGCAGAAGTAAAGGTTGTAAACATTTTATGAATCAACCTTTCCTCTGATAAGTCTTCTGGGCAATGATAAGTATGCGTATCCTGAATTCGGATCTTGGTCGTAGAATAGAGACTGGCTAGCTGTGGCTAGGTAGACGAGACGAGCTTTCATTCGGGGAGATGACTATCTTCGCTTTGAACTAGAGCATCCTAGAAAGGCAGTCCTTGTTCGAGTCTCTATCGAGTGGAACTTGATGAAGCCCGGAACTGCCTTCAAGATGGCGTGTGTCGAGTTCCAAGACGCCCCCCTTCAAAAACACCTGGATATGGTCGAACATCAGGACATCACACTACTTCTACTCTGGAATCATACATAATATACTATACTCACATGTCCATCTTTAGCTTTTGGCCAGAGGCCACGAGCAAGAGCCGCAACATATAATACGATCATTCCAGCAGAAGACAAAGGCAAATATATTCCTATCGCTTCGCTCTTCAATTGGACAAGCCTGGGAGTGATAAGCGGAATGGTTTGGGCTCTACGAGCCTCGCTGATGGCAAGAAAATCCTTGAGTAAAACTACTCGCAATATGGCTGTCAACTAACATCTAGTCCTGGGGGGATCATTTAAGAGGCTTGGCGGTGTCCCCGTCCGCATGGAACTCTCCATGACACCTTTCAGGCAGTCGATGTGCGTCTGCCCGCCCCCGTCTCTCAGTATCTGAAACTCCTACAATGCGCCTAATGAACAACCTGTGGGTAGTTATCTCTGAAGATAACACTTTGGCAAGAATAAAGAACATTATGTGACATAAGCTTCATTTACTGACTTGAATATTTCAGGGCGCTATCTGTCTCGACACCCTCAGCAAGCGGCTCACCACCGTGACTATGTGGTACTCTGCACGCTTCAATTTTAGAGGAAATGAAACAAGATTATATTCAGCAGTATAAAAACTTTGTAAGCGCTAATTCGAATTATCAACTGAACATGACTGATAGAGCGCCTGAAGGCATACGAGAAAGAGAGCACTATCCAAGGACAAGAGGGAAACCCTAAAGGACATACTTCGCTGTGGAACGCCAATTTACTCGTTGACGATGCTTCTCACTACTTCTTGCAAGCATAAGGATCGTCTCGACCAGCGACCGCCTCGCCCTCAAGCTGATCCCCGGATCTACTCTGCACTACGAGATACCAACACTCGCTTGAATGCAGCCACCAACCCTACGCTTTGTGGAAACTTTACCCCGTATGGCGAAGATCGGGGCCGAACAGGATCTTCCCAACTTCATCAAATAGCACCAGCAAGATCCCCAAAGCTGAGGCTCGGGAACGAGAACATCAATTACATATATATAAATGCTGTGTTGAGTAACAACTCTCGAGAAGCACCCTTCACTAGTCGATCCACCAGGAAGCATCGATTGTACGAGGGCATTTCGTAACAAACAAGGCAAAACACCACTAAATACGACACCTTATACACACTATAGTCGGCAACCATTCCGCTACTGGCATTCAGACATTGCCTAGATGCACGGTTATGGTTCAGAGCAAGCCTTCAAGGCCTTGCAGGAATCGACTGGCGACATTACTTTTCTTGCAGACTAAGGCCTATGCCTGGAAGCTTTGAGCCATAATGGAGGCCTAGTGATGTCGAGTATTGGTTGTGTGCAGTTTCACCATACTATCATTTGTAGGAGCCCGAGGACGGTCTTGAAGCCAAGGTCCGGTGGGTTGATTTCTAAGCGTGGGACCTAATCATTAACTTGGGAGCTCTTTGCAGATGTATGGGGGTATGGGGAGGCATATCTCTGTGGAAAATACACCCCTTGCAGGAAGGATCTACTCAAGGCACCGGCCTTTACCTTGTGGTTTCGGTGCCCACGGCATGGAGCTTGCGTGGCGACGCTCAATGATGAGCAACACTCGATTAAAGTCAAATTCTATGAGGTAGTGGAACCTCATCTTCTTCAGCAGATATGGCTGGTCCAACTATTTGAGCCTTTTGCACAAAAGGATAATTGTCAACAGCTTTTCTCTTCCGACGAGTTCCTCCCTTTTGAGGAGTATCGTCCTCTGTGCGAGGAGACCAACCCGGAGAGTTGGACCACCTCCCTCGAGCTGCAGTTCCAGAATGCTTACTGCTGCCCGCTCGAGCTGTAGTTCGAATATCCCGTGACTCTCCTGCTAACGTTGAACGTACAGATGCCAAGGCACTCAGCAACATGGCCCGAAAGCCTCTCCGCGAGGCTGTTCTGCAGATTGCAGATTACACTCAGGAGGATTAATTCGAACTACTATTTGATCAAACACAAGTGGCTATACTGGAAATTATATTATTTAACAAAGCTCTGCGCCCCACCAACTCAAGGGACAGAAATGCCTTTCCTTAAGGAAGAAGAGCTCCGTTCTCTTCACGACAGAATCCAAGACCTTGAAATGCAGGTCAAGGAGGCAAAGGACCTAACTGCGGTCCTTGAGTCTAACCTCAAGACCGCCGGAAAATGCGACGTCAACGCTGGCAACCCTAGGTCCGCCCCTAGACCCATGGCCTATAAGACCTGGTCAGCCACTATAAGGATTACCTCGATGAAGTCAGCGACGACGAGTGTCACAACTTGCGAGGTATAAGCAAGCTCTTCACTCATCAACATACACTGGCAGCTAACCTTTTACTCGAAAAGGAAATCATCGATACACA